GTTTATTTTTTTAAGTTTATTTAATCTGGAATAATATTCCTGTCTGTTTTTATTCATATTTATGTTTAAAAAACATTGTTTTAGTGTGTTCAATAAATGTTTATCTTGTTTGGCCCGCGACCTAAAGTGTGCCTTGAGTTTTGGCCCCTGTGCAATTGAGTTTGACACCCCTGATCTAAATGATTCACAGGTTTGGTGAGAAAGTGCTGTAGTCAGACAAAACCAAAAATCAAGTTCTTTGTCATCAACTCAACCTGGCGTGGTTAGAGTAAGACAAATGCCAAGTATGATCCAAAAAAACACCTTGCCCACAGCCAAGCACAGAGGTAGAAACATTACGCTTTGGGGCTGTTTTTCTACTAAGGGTAAAGAACATCACTACATTGAAGAGTCAAGTACCAGAAGATTTTCTGGTATGTGAAGAGTTTTAGATAAGAGACCCTTTCCGTCAGGCAGAACACTTCGGAGAGGTCGTGGATGGGTCTTCCAGCATGACAATGGCCCAAAGCATACCACCAAGGCATCAGGAGTGGCTAAAGAAGCAGCAGATTAAGATAATGCAGTGACCTAGCCAGTCTGAAAAGTGTTAAGGGAGCTGAAGCTTTGAGTTGCCAAGCAGCAGCCAAGAAAATTAAAGAACTTCTTTAGAAATGAGCAAACATAAAAATTCAGCAACGGGGTCAAAAAAAATTATTTACCCATACTGCAGTACAAATGGACAGAACTTCTCAAGCCACTTGAACTGAACTGAAATTCATATAGTGGGACAAAGTCAGCAGAAGTAGAACACTTTAAATTTAATGATTAAATCCATGGAAAGCTTCTCTTTCTTATTATTTAGCAGCAATCTGTTTCCCAGAAGTAAAATTACATGTGCCTTGTATTTCTCAAAACACCTTCTGATACTAGTTTGATGATTAACTTGCCTCATTAATGCGGTTATTCAAGACAACTACTCAAACAGACCTGATAACACACAAAAAGAAAGTGAACCTGCATACTCCACTACTATAAAATGTAGAAAAAGAAAAACAAAACTATGCTCTCTCTCTCTCTCTCTCTCACTTGAGAGCTTTCATTAAATAGAATTTCTTTCCCTGTGACATAATATAATGCAGGGAGGATCAAGTCGGGACACTGGTCAAAGATGGTTTCTCTCGTGAAGTTCACAATAGCAGCTTGCTTGTTTAACAAAGACTCCATTTGGTTTATTCAAGGTTACCGATTGTATAGACCAGCAAAGAATGTAAAGCCTGACAAAACTGCTATATTTTCACATGGATGAAGCAAGACATGTGGTATTTGTACTAAAGAGCAAGCAGCGTGGAGAACATTCGCAATTCAGCTTAGAAAAACAACCGCATTTTCATATACAGCTCCTGCAGTTAATGTTAAGATTCACAGCCACATGCCTGTGAAAACAACCTGTTATACTATAGCTCCTCCAAAACACTGAGGGCATCTCTTTAGCTTATCATGCATTTATTAACCATTGCTCCATATCATTAACAAGTCCTCTCAGTCTTGCAGTTTCTACTTTTTACCTGTACCCAAAGAAAGCCATGTACGTCTGCAGTTATTGTCCTCACCAATTTGGCCAAACACATATCCATGAACTCTGAGTCTGCTTCTATTGGAGGTCTCTTCTTGTTACAAAGGAGCTTTCCTCACCACTGTCTTGAAATGTTTGCTTTGGGGCTAATTTGAGGGTTCATCTCTATGTTAAAAAGATCTAGAAATTCAATTTGTAAAAAAAAAAAAAATCAAAAACCTTAACTTAAATTTAGCTCATTTAAATTTTCCAATGACCTGACTTATTTGGGTTTGGAAACTGCTGGCTCTTCCAATGAAAACTCAAATTCAATCTTTGGGAGACTCAAACCAAGTTTCTTCAGCAGCGATTATACTCATTGTGAATTTTGCTTGAGTGTTTAAGGTCCATGGCGAAACTTTTAATATCCACACTGAAGTGCTCAGAAAAGGAGTTCCAGGAACCAATCTCAAAATAGCATTGCAGGAAGAACCATCGCAGAGACTGGACATGAGAAGAACGGCGCCTTGGCTACAAAATAAGGTTGGTGAATTAGAGGCTTATTAAAATGCCTTCTCCTACATGCATGTTCTGGCTGTCATCTTTGACACATTGTGCCACGGATTCACAGACGTCTTACACATCCATTTTCTAGTGCAATTACAAAACAAATTTGGTTATTCAGACCATGAGGGTACTATTGAGAAATACCAACAACACTATCATGCTGTAAACATGAATTGATGCATGTTGCTCAGATTAATGTCAGGCTTAAACAGCAGCAGCGTTGTCGTCTTTCTCACAAACTGTGTAAACAGGCATGCATGACAATGAGTAACTATGGTTACAGTGTGACGCTGTGAAGCTCATGATTGCCAAGAAAAGATCTTAAATTATTATGCATATGCAAAATCAAGTATGAACCTCAGTGCTTACGTTTATTAAGTAATATGGATATATACTCTGTGGGTGGCTGTAGCTCAGGAGGTAATCACAGGGTTGGTAGTTCAATCCCTAGCTGTTCCAGTCTGCATGATAATATCATTAGGCAAGATACTAACCCCGGCTTGCTCTCAGATATATCCATCGGAGTGTGAACGCTAGATAGGAAGCACTTAACCATAGAAAAGGTCCTTTTATGAATAGGTCAATGAGACAAGATGTATAAAGCGCTTTGAGTCCTCAGAATAAAATAGTGCTATACAAAAAACAGTCAATTTACTATGTAGCATAGATTACTTTTTCAAACATAATATTATTGACACAAAACTATATACTGTGTGAATAATCATATTTTAGAAGGAAACAATTAACCATCTGTGTGCATTTTATGTAACTTACCCTATAAACATTTGTTGTGCTATTCAGAGCTATGCATGTCTATTTATTCAAAGTGTGCCATAATAAGAAGAATATTTGAGTCTGATTAGTGCATACTGATTCTTTTTATATCCTGGACAGGAGGAGAACTGATTGCGTACTTAAAAAAGAAAGGCAGGCTAACACACCTGATTGCAACTGTTACAGAGTATGATATTTTACTATAATGTCTAATTAACAACTTTAAAAAGTTGCTGTTATCAAGTGAAAATCCAAAATATTTCTGGGTCCTTTTAATCACCCAAAGTTTCAAGACCCGAGCAATGCCTCTGGTAACATTCGACACCTCATTCCTCAAATTTAAGGCTCACCACATCATCTGCCTTGAGCTCACACCATCCCTAGAATACCTGCATGTACTCCTTTACTACATCTGTGGCTTCTATTTTTCTCCTGCCTCACAGATCCATATTCAACACCTTTTCTCCAATATATCCACTAACCCTCATCTGCATATTTCCAAACCATCTCTAACCGTCTCCAAACTGCTCAATCTGAATTGTCCCTTTGATGTAACACCCCCCCCCCCCCCTTAAATCTTGGCATTTTCTGATCACTCCCACTGATCAGTGATCATCTCTACCTACTCTACCCTGTCTGCACTCTCTTTTTCACCTCTCTTGTCTGTTGCTTTGGATGGTTAACATCAGGTATTTAAATGCATGTATCTTCACTACCTCCTTGCAGCTTTAGTTACACCTGTTTCCCTCTCGTTCACATACGTTTTCTGTTTTGGTTCTACTGACTTTTATTCCTCATCTCTCCAGACTTACTTCCATCTGCTCCCAGCTCTCAATACAGATCACTATGTCATCTGCAAACATCTTAGTCCATGGAGACTCCTGCCTGATCTCACCTGTCAACCTGTCCATCAACACTGAGAAGAAGAAGGGGCTCAGAGCAGATCTTTCAATGTAATCCCATCCCCACCTTAAACCCTTTCTCTTACCACACACCTCACTACTGTATGTGTCCTTATACATTATCCTGCACCAGCCTCACCTGACTTCCTCATGCAGCACCACAGATCCTCTCATGGCACCCTATCACACGCTTTCTCGAAATCTACAAAGACCGTGCAACTACTGAAGATAACTATATTAATCCGCACTTGGTCAAAAAACACGCACGATCAAACCTACTGACGGTTTGAGCAACCAAAGAAGCTCGTCTTACTGACCCAGTCTGATCTTCTGTGGTCACAGTTTCTGTTTTCTCGGGGGGGAAAACAAACGGGTCAAATACACGTGAGTTTACAGGTGATGTAAACAGCGTTGGCAGCTCTTCACACTGACATGTTTCTCTGCCAGCTCCAGTTTGACAACAACACCACCGAAATAGAACTTCGTCTCATGACGTCATGCAGGAGATAATGTTCTGACTAAAGCAAACGCGACTCCAGAACGATTTCACTTTATCAAAAAACAAACAAACAAACAACACACTCCATTCCAGTTTAGTCTTAACGCTAACGCACCAATTATTCAACAGAGCACGGCTGCAGTCACGCAGCTTACGGCTCGAAACCAGTCAAAGGCCCACGGCGCGGCATTTTCATGGCTACTTAATACTGCATGATTGCAAGCGTTGGGTACCTTTCATAACTTAACGAGCTGGCTCTGTTCAAACTAAAACACTTTCCATTTGATCCAGTACCAACCCGTAAACGCTTAGTAGAAACCTAGCTCCGTGTTAAGATTTGAGTGTTTTATCACAAAGGAAACAGCGGTTGTAAATAAAATAGGCCCACTCAACGCAATCAGCTAGCACATATTAGCGTCAGCCTGAAACTGTTGTCAACTTCAGAATCCACCGGTGGGGAAAAGGGTAAAAATAACACCTACCTGATCTAAATTATCGTCACTAGCGCTGTCTTCGGAGTCAGAGTCAATAACGACTCGACCTTTCCGCTTCTTTACATTCACCATGATTAGCTGCAGAGCTAACCCACTAGCTACCACTGTGTCGTCTAATGTAATGTTCTCTACGATAGCTGTCGCTGCTACCTGGCTAACTCCGGAGTCGATCACACAAAGGCGGCACTGCGCATGCGCGCCTGTATTACCAGCTTGATTGACGAAAACATGTTTAAGTGAGATATAACAAAAATTTCTGTTCTTGGTCCCTGTGTATTAAATACGAAGATTCAACTAAAGAACATACTGCAGAAACGGAACCGCTGGATATAAGAGCATATACAGTTAGCAGAGAGAGGAACCATATACGAGTACAGGAGTCAGGACAGTAATCTTTGATGCACGGAAGCTGTGTTGAATGATTACCTTGTGGCTCATTCAGTGACATTTCTGGTCGAAGGTTTGCTGAAGGAATTTCAGTCGTGTTGGTTTACCTATTTTTACTAGGACAGCGTACACCGGCGGTCTATATATTCTTTTGTACCTCATAGCATAGTGTATGATCAAACCTAACCCGAACAAGCCCTGATGTATCTACGAGACATTTGCTTCTACATCGTGGTCAAGGTAAATGTAAACAGTTTACACTGTGTTAAGTTATTAACTGTAGTTTACGTCATGTAATTCTTTCCACGAAGTAAACAGTTTCAATCATTCCAGTATGGTTAAGCTTTTGATTAATTTGTGTGTTTAGACAAATATAATTCGAAATGTATCTGACAGTCATTCTAAACGAATAGCACGCAATCAATTTTAATTCTAAGGACTTAGGGGTAACAGTCTTTATTCACCAACTGTGTAGACAGAAAAAAGTAAGTAAACCTCCTCATGACCTCTCCCGAAACAACTTGGAGTCAGGTGAGAGTGGGAGTGTGATTATAGAAATGCCCCTCCCTATTCTAGTAAGTGTCTTGGGTTGAATTTCTCTGTCTTTAATGTTTTCCCTGTTGTGAATAATTTTTCGGGTTGTAAAACCCTTCCAGAAACCTCTTTATGATCTTTTTTCATCAGCATTGTGTTTACACACATGTGAATGCTCCAGACCAGCAAACTGCCAAAACTTCTGCTCACACTTGCCGATATGTGAGCAAGTGTGAAAATGGGATTATACGTAAAGAAAACCCATGAACACATAATTCAAAAAAGAAACCTTTCATTTTTCTACATAAATATAGTTGTTTGAAGTGGGACATTTTAAATGCCCTCTATTGGATAATTATACAAAACGATATAAATATTGTTTAAAGTGTGTCAGGCCATTATTTTGTTTTTGAGAAACATATTCTTATTTATATTCATTTTGACTCTGTTACTCTGTGTTCTGTATCTCAGCAGTGAAACCTGCAGATCAGCGTTGAAATGTCCCTGCCGAGGATCACACACCTCCCTTCTGGGAGGCTGCTGAGCACCATCCTCCACCACCAGCTGCTTCTCCCCTCCATCATTCCTCTCACTGTGCCCAAAAGAGCTGTGATCCAGGGTGAATACAGACGACCCGGCCAGCCCAAAAAGACCAAGTTTGCCTGGCAAAAGATTAACTTTAATTTCTCAAAAGGTTTGGAGGCGATAAAGAAACATTTCACACTCCTAAAAAAGGAGTTTACCGACCGCTGGGTTGGCCCTGAGGGTAAACCGATTGTTGAGCACATGCTGGAGCAGAACAGAGTTGTATGGGAGTTCAGAGGTCCAGAGAGCCTGAGGGAGTGGACGGTGTCCTCTGATCGTGAGATTGGAGGCCATAGTGAAGCTTACCTGAAGCTGGGAAGGAACAATAATACCTGTTTTCTGTACGGGACACTGAGCTCTACTCCCCCACGAGATGGAGAAACACGCTACAGTGGATACTGCACTATGCGCTCAAAGCAGCCTCTGGTTAGTGTTAACTGCTGGATACCATGTTTTTGTTGAATTCAGTAGCGCAGAGAGATTAGTCTCCCTCCGGTGATTACTTTTCTTTTAGAACATAATATAGGATGGATGCAGAGGGGAGGAGGGGGTTCCCCCATTGCGGTTTATGTAAATGCCAATTTCCAAGTCTTTTGTGTCTTCTAGGCTTCCTTTGATAGAAAAAAACACCATGATTGGAGCAGTTTTAATACTCTGCAATTACGTGTACGTGGTGATGGTCGCCCATGGATGATTAACGTCTCAGCAGAAACATACTTCTCTCACCAGAAGGATGACATATACTGTTATTTCCTATATACCAGAGGAGGGCCCTACTGGCAGGATGTTAAGGTGAAGTTTGTTTGTTTTTTTTAACGTAAAATTATTTAATAAATCTATATAGGTCTGTTTAAGAGGCATGATAGTATCAAATATGTTGATCAGCCTGACTTCAAATGCTCTTCTGCAGATACCTTTCTCTAAGTTCTTCCTTACACATCGAGGGAGGGTACAAGATGACCAGCATCCTGTCTGGCTGGACAAGGTAGTGCAAAGAAAAATTCCCTCACAAAGTGATGATAAAAACTGATGTATCATTACCCTAATCCCTTTTTAGCTTGTGGCCTTCACATTGTTTTTCGTATTTGTATTTACAGGTTAACACCATTGGGTTTACTTTGGGAGACAAAGCTGATGGCCCATTCCAGCTTGAAATTGATTTCATTGGTGTTTGCAAAGATTATGCACACACAGAGGAGTTTGCCTATGAAGCATACAAGAGGAACCCAGAAGTCTAAGAACGGTTAATGCTGCAGTCAGACTGTTGGGAAAAATTTGAACTTATATTGACACCATTTCTGTAATGTCATTATAGATTTCAAACTATTAATATTAATGACTTGTGCAGACCGTTTATTATTAAATGATGTATTAAATACCACAAGAGAACAAATATAAAAAGACAAGATCTTGGGTCAATAACTCTTATGAGTGCCTCAATTCTAGCAAAGTAAAGCAAATGAAATTTTTAATTAGTAGTTTCAAAATGCAGCAAAACAGGACAGACTTATATCACATCAAAATATCCTTTTAAAAAAGGTATTAGAGTTTGAGCTAAAAGTATTTAAAAGAAATGCAGGATTTGAACCTCAAAGACGCTGGACAGTATATGTCGGCTTCTACTACTTTTCTATAGGGGCTACAAAATGCTGAAACTGAAGCTGCAGACAATGAAATATTTACACTTCAACAGGGTTTACAAACGGCCGCAAGCAGGCACAATATTTTATGCCATGACAAGGCCTCTTCTTGCCCCAAGCATACTTTCTTTCTTCTGCTTCCGATCTTGTATCTGCTTTGCTCTCCTGCCCTGCCTAAAATAAGAATAAAGATATTCAGAGATGTGGCATGAGCCAACTGCAATGGGAGAATTTTCAGCGTCAATTAAAAACCTACCTTGACTGGACTTTGTGCTGTTTGTAAGCTTCCTGGTGCGGATTTGAGACAGACTTGTTCATGGCCGTGTTTTCTTTGACATCTTCAAATGGCTTCAGTTTACCTATGTATAAAATAAATAACTCAATGCTACATCTTGTCCAATCAAATGGTGTTTCACACGAACAGGGAAAATGAGAACATTTTTATACCTTTATGAGGCTTGTAGGTGAGGGGACGTGACAGACTCGCCTTCAGATCAAAGCTGGGTTTCTTGTTTGTGCCAGGCGTTGTTGAAGTGCTTGTGTTGCCAGTGAAAACAAATGGTCCTTTCAGAGGGGGAGGGGGGGAAACAAAACATAATCATCTACTGTTTAGAAACATACTTCAAATATATCATTCCAAGGGTTGAAAGGCCAAAGTACCTGGAGTTTTTGTGGCAGAGAACGATGCAGTTTTGACACTGCTGGGCTTTAATCCATTGGCAGTCTGTTTCTGCGGGGTGCTGGAAGCCACGCAGGGTGACATGCGTGCAGGTGTCTTCACCAGTGACCTTTTATATTCATTGTCATGAGTAGCTTCTGAGAACCTGTATGTAGACAGTTCTCATTAAAGCATTACATTTAATACAAAACTTAAATTTGAATGTTTCCACTTTGCAATACCACTTAAAGTTTATTTTGGAATATCCACTCTTGAATTCAGGTTTATCCTTTAGAATGAACCATTATTTAACAAGTGTTTGCAAACAGAGACTGCATCGCTAAGTCATAAGTTTTATACACCTGTGCGAAAGTGATTGATAACTAATGAGAAGATTAAAAGACTGTGGCTCAGTACTTTTGTCCATTTAAAAGACACAGATCCCGAAGAAATTCATTAGATTTGTTGTATCAAAAGGCCAGAGGATAAAACGGTGACTCACCGAACATTGATCCTGCGAGTAGAAAGAACAGACGGCCTGAAGGAGGTGACCTCCTTTGAAAGAGGTTTTTTGGTGGCTGAAAGCACAGTGTGCCTGCGGTTTTCGCCACCTGGTGTCTTGTTCACTGGGGCAGGGCTGAACATGGAAGCACGAGTTGGATTTGCCCTCTGTGGGATTATATACATGTGTCATTAGTGTGCTTCAGAAGTAATCGATCTATACATCAAATGTGGGTGACCAGTAGATGGTGGTGCTTACCACTTGAGCTTTGCCATCAACTTGCAGCAGTTTAGTTTTGTCTGACAGACTCTACAGGTAAAAAAATAAAAATAAGACAAAGTTCAAGTAAAAGTTACACTTAATTTTTCCTGAATAAAACTAAGCCAAGATAATTTGGCACCTTTAATTCCATCACTGAATTTCTGTACGTCTCCATCTGTTTCGTCTTCCGCTGAACATAGGAATCAATGGACTCCATCTTGTTGAAATGAGCCTCGTGAAGTTTTTTGAAATCTGGATAAACAAATAAAATGTATAACATATTCAAAGATTTATTTATGCATTTTTTTTTTTTGGGGGGTTTTTTTTTTTTTTTTGTTTTGTGGGGGGTTAGTTTTTTCTTTTTAATCGATTAAGGTTTTATTTACTCAAGCAAAATAGTTGTGCATCTATAGAAAACAGGAAAATGTACACATTTCTCTGAAATAAAGTAGGACAGGCTCTGCTGTACATAGCAGAGACTCCAAAAAAGCTTTTGCTGAATCAAGCACAAAAAGAACCATATCATTGAAAGAGGAACAAACAAAACTTACTGGGGGTAACAGGCTTCAACAAAGGCTTACTCTTCTGCTGGAGACGAGGAATTCTACCAGCTTTTGCCCCTTTTGGTGCCTTTTCTGGACACAGACCTTTAAAGGTAAAATTTGTGCAAAAGTACATGATCGTAAAGTCCAAGGAAGAAAACATAAGTGTGTATCAGCTTTTATCAACTATTGCTAACCTGTTTCAGCAGTCACTGGTGCTTCATCCTTAATGGCAGGCTGTAGCTGCTGCTCCTCACGGTCAGCAGTCTGGATCTTTTTAGGAGGCTCATTTTTTTCTTTATCGTTTGTAGAGGACACCTTTCTCTTCTTACCACCCCTGGCATTGCAAGGTGCAGTAAGTGCATCAGCTTCAGTGTCATCCTTAAAAAGAAAAATAAGCATAAAGGTTTTAAACCTCCAGAATGCAAAGAACTTAAACAGCTGCAAAGCAACCCTATGCACAGGGATATAGAGTGCTTCAGATGTATTTATGTTGAATGCAGTGTAATGTATAATACCTTTGCAGCAACTGGAGGCATCTTGGCATCGCTTTTAGTCAGTGTCGCAGTATCAGAGATTTTTCTCTTGTTACCCTTTCCTTTGCCTCGACGTGTGTTCACAAACCCAGTAGTGCTGGAAACTTCTTCCTTGCAAGCTGAATCCAGGACAACCTCAGATTTCTCCTGAGCTTCATCATTAATATCTTGCCCCTGGAACAGTCATAAACGCATTAGCGCTGTGCACATGAGATGCTGACAACAAAGCCAATACATTACAAAACAGCAGTAAGTTACCTGCTCCTTCGCCTCTTTGTTCTTTTCTTCTTGATAATGCTGCTTTATGGCCTTCAGAAGTTTGTCGGCCTAATGTTGCCGAAAAAAAACGGGGGAAAAATGCATTTGAGTGTAGTCTGCCCAACACACGTTGACGTTAGAGAACAGCCAGCTACCGTTAGCGAATACAAGGTAAGTCTACCATAACCCCGCTAGAAGCAATTTTTAAAAAGTACCGCTTCCTTACCTTCATGTTCGCCTTGAGTCCCAGCTCCTTAGCGAGACATCGCAATTCTGCATATTTCATAGAGTCCAAATCCATGCCGGTATGACAGTTTATTTCGCTTTTTTTAAGAAAAAAAAATCCGCGCACACGTCGGCGTTTCTCCTCACCACAAACGGCGTCGGTTAAAACTAGCCTCCGATTCAAAACACAGAAGCGCGACACATTTGATTGGCTCTTCACTCTAACCGGATATGCCTCTCAGCCAATCAGAACAACCGTGCATTTTCGGGATTTTGTTTTTATCCCCCATGCTTATTTTTTCTTTCTAAAATCTTATTTTTTATTAGACATTTTATACATTTAAAATATTAAAATTTAATCAGCCACAATTTTTTTGTTAAACTTGTAGAAAAGTGTTATTTGGTATCTTGCACATTTCTTTGTAAGGGCGTGGTTACGCTGAGGGCGTGCTTTCCTCTGTTGTTCAAATTCGCGAGGAGGGCAAGTTGCTAGCTAGGCACCGTGAAGCATGGAATTTAACGACAGCTTTTTAATTAAACACACCGATGACTTAAAGCTGCCGGTCACAGGAACAGTGCACAGACAGCAGATGACTTTCCACTGTCAGCAGTGCAACGCTGTCCTGGCGGACTCCACAGGCGTCTGTGGAGAGATGAAAAGCATGGACTCGCTTATGTGCTTAAGTAAGTACACTTCATTTCTAAAAGCTTGTTCGCTGAGGCATTGGGCTTGTGTTAAATGCAGTATCAGTTTACAGTGCTAACTAAACTCATAGTAGATGGATTTTGACTTGTTGTGTTATGGCGACTGTTTACATCATATGACCTTATATGTTCGAGTAAGATAATCAATGAGATGATAAATACATTATTCAATAGCAATATGGTAGTATGCCTGGTGATAGATGTCTTTCCTGTAGCTGCAAAGCTGAATCAGTCTTTTAGAGAGACTGCCTATTCAGCACAGTGGTGGATTATCAATGATGGATAAGTTTCATCACAATATCCTCAAAGTTTCCAATTTACAGCCAGTTACAGAGTCAGCCTTTATTCAGTCTTCTCCCCCAGCAGAGTTCAGCCTATTGTTGATGCGGACACCCAGGTACCTGTACTCCTCCACCACCTCAAAAGGAACCTTCTGAACTAGATCACATTCCCTCTGGTCTTATTCATATTCAGAAGCAGATGAATCCTCCCAGGCCATGACACAAAATCATCCACTAGTGCTCTCTACTCTCCATCCTGCCTCTAAAATCAAACCGTTGCATACTCATTAGAGTATTTCTGTAGGTGCCACAACCCAGAGCTAAACTCCTCAGTGTCTTAGGTGTGCAAGGTGAACAACAATGGAGATTGCAGAGTCCCCTGCAGAGCTCCTGAACTGAACATCACCAAACACACGGAGTACTTCCCCAGTCTCATGTGCTGTGACCTGTCTGTCAGTGGATGTGTTTCCTGACATTTCCTGTAGATTCTCTCTCAGTAGCAGCAGATGAAATTGTGTTAAATGCACTTGCAAAATCAAAGAAGGTAATCCTCACTGTGCAGCCATTACTGTCTAGATGGCAGTAAGCTCCCTGCAGGATGTAGGTGATTGCTTCCACATTTGTTCTGTGTGCAAACTGCTGAGGGTCAAGAGATGATTTCGCCTGTGGTCTCAGCTGGGCCAAGATTAGTGTCTACAGTACCTTTGTCACATGCCGTGAGGGCAGCTGTTTGATAATCGTTAAGCTTTGGCGATGTTGACTTCTTTGGTACTACTTGGGCCAGCGCACTTGCTCTAGTGTAGTTTCTTCTGCTGTCTGTTTGGGAGTGGAGGGGATGGAATAGCCTGCCTGTAGTCCTGTCCTCAACACCATTGAACACTTGTGGGATCAACTGGGACGTGCTGTTCGTGCCAGAGTGACAAAAACAACCACATTTGCTCCCTAATGCTCTTTTAATGTCTGTTTTTTCAGGGGTACTATACTTAAACTCCACTGATGATTTTCAAAAGTTTTATGCCAATATGATATTTCTACCTAATGTCTTTCTACCTAATTTTCTTTAGGAGTAACCAATGATGTAGTCATTAGTGACAAGATGGAGTCAGAACATAAAGGGGAAATGACTAATTGGTGAGTAGGGTTAAGCTGCAGCGTTTATTGACCTTGTAGAGGAAATTTGTTTTGTACCACAAAGCATTGTCATGAGCACAGCTTAGACTTTAGTGGTATAGACAGGTTGATAATGAATGTCTTGATCACTCCCAGCATCTACAGCTCTTTAAAATGCCGTGGCTGCCGCTGTGCTCTGGGGAAAGTCATTCACTCAGCACCCTCACGTTTGGCTCTGATTCGGTCCATCTTTCTCCTCTACAAAGCAAACATCAACTGGTAAGCCCTCCGGTTTCTACTAACCACACGACCATATTGACTACTTGTGTACATGTTTGTCTGGGGAGGGTAGAATAAACATGTGGCTTATGAGCTTTCTTTGTTCACTTCATATTGTGAGCTCAGGTCAGAGATGAAACAAACCCTGTATATGTTGTACACTTGATGAGTAGGTTTAACTATTCACTTTATAAATAAGTGTGTGGTAATTATATTTTTCATTCTTTAATGGAAACCATTTCATTGAAGTTATTTTTTGCATCCCTCGATCTTCAAGAACTTGCTTAATTCTCTCTGCAGTTACATCCTCAACAGCAGCTCCCTGGTGAAGGCATCCACACTCACATTTGATCAGAAGCCGCTCAGACAAAGCATGAATGAGGTGGGACACTGAAATAATAATATCATGTCGGAGCAAGAGAACCAATTTTACTTTTTCCATTGGGTTTTATTGTGGTTCATCAGTGCACACACTCACTTCACAATAGAAGAGATTAGTGCATAAAGCAATCCAGTTAGGAATGAAATAAATTATAATTGCCTCTGCTGAGCAAATAAATGTGTTACTTGCTTTCCGTTGCAGGTGAGACAACAGTTTGAAGCACAGCTGGAACAGATGTCACGCATTAAGAACAGACTGGTAGACAGAAGTGTTACCAGTAATATGGTCAACTAGTATACACAGGACACCCAGCTCAACCTGGGATTAGGGAAAATATGTTCTTCAGTCTGCTGCGTACTGTAGATGGTTTTTGGTGATGGTGGCATTTATGCGCCTCCATATGCTTGTAAAGAAAATTATATCACTAATAATGGATTAGAGCTGAAATGTGTTTGTTCCATTGGAAAATAAAGGGATCAGTGAACACTAATATGTCAGATTGTATGTAAACAATGGATGCAGCTCCAGCATTCAAGAGTGTGAATACTTAAACCTGACACAGACCTGCATTCTTTAGAAGGACCAGCAGAGGGCGCCTCCTCATTAAAAAATCAATTCTTAAGGTAAAGATGGAAAAACCCTCCCGCTTCTTTGATCTGCCGCTTTCCTGTTGAGTTTATGGCCTTCGTCACTATTTTTATGTCTTACTGAATACAGCATGATTGTTTTATTTTGTAAATTATGGCCCCACTTAGGCTATAAGGATACAAAACAAAATGGTATGCTTTATGATAGGCTAGTTGCTACTGTGTGACCATGAAGTGTCCTTGGTTAATCTGTCAGATTCACCCCTCCCTTCTGATGTGTTGCTTGCTGACCAGAATGCTTCAGAACTGGACCTCACTTTGCCAACATCCATCTTTTATATACAGTCTATGTTGTCAGCTACTAAGTGAAATTACTTTTTATTATTCATTTTCTTAATTGTTGTAGGTTAAATCAGGGCATTGTTGTGAAATATAAATGTCATTCCACCTGTATTGTTACTTTGGTTCAAAACATTGTTGCTGGTACCCTCACAAGGTATTTGTCTAAAATGGCAGAATGCAGATATTAACAATTGTTACAGATGATAGCAACAGTTGTTGACGCAGCTTCTCAGATCCCTTCTCTGCTGCTGATAATGACTTCTTGCCAACGTTTGAGATATATGGTCAATGTTCAGTCACGCTCAGTTCAGTTCAATTAAAATGTCAAAGTAATCTTGATTTACTGTAGTTTGTTTGTAATGGACAGCATACACTCAGTGGCCACTTTATTAAGTACATCTTGCCAGTACTGTTTTTGCCTTCTGATCTACTCTAATTCTTCATGGCACAGATTCAACAAGATGTTTGAAACATTTCTCAGGGATATCGGTCCATTTAGAGATGATAGCATCACACAGTTACTGCACATCCATGTTGTGGATGACCTGTTTCACCACATTCTAAAGGGATTATTGGATTGGATTGAGATCTGGTGACTGTGCAGGCCACCACTACCAGTCTGAACCTTTGATTATGAAAGTGAGATCGATCCATACTTGCATATTGTTTATGCCAAATTCTGACCCTACCATCCTCTTGTTCTCGTAACTTTGTTGTTCAGTTTTTGTAGCCTGAGTTTCCCATTCTTAGCTTTGCCTTAATTTTCTTATGCTTGCATAATGACAATAAGACAATCCCCTCTTACTGAGAGGAGTGGCACCTGCTGCGATCATCTCTCTGCTTCAAGGCTGGACATATTGTGATTTAAGACATGTTTTTCTGCATAGCCTGAATGGGTGCATAACTGCTAATTTAAATTATTATTGTTGACAGCAGTTTCTGCCATACTCATTCAAACAACCATGTCACATTCAGTGTCAGTAAATTACTTTTTCTCCCCGCTCTGATGCTCTGTTTAAACGTCGGTAGATCATCTCAACAACAAACACAGCCCTCAATGCTTTGAATTGCTGCCATGTGATCGACTGCTTAGATAATTCTATTAAAAAGCAGTTGAACCTAATAAAGTGGCCAGTGAGTGTATATCTCATGTATTTGCTGTAAATGCTATTTTGTTAATAAAGTTAATTGTTCCCACGATTTTAGGATCAACAGTTCAGTGAGAGCAAAGGTGGTTTTGTTCCTGCTTACAATCTTCACACCAAGCTAGAATTAGGTTCAAATCTTCCTTCAGTAATCATTTTCTGGTGTGTAACCAGCCTCAGAGTGGTATTAAGGACAACAAACTTTTGGTTTGTTGGTTTGTGTTATATGGCATTCAAACTGTAGTCGACACCCAAAAATTTAATTGGCACCATGCTGCGTTTTATTGCTTAACTTCTGATACAGATTCTTTTTTCTTTTTAAAGTTAATACAAAACCAGACAAGAGGCTCACACATAACAAGCATGCCCATTTCCTCCCTCTGGAGTGCATAGTTTCTACACAGTCCACGTCCTCTGTGGGAAAAGTTGATCAACAAAGTGATGTCGTCAATCTTACCTAAGCTCTTGATATATATATATTTTTTTTTTTCCTTAATGGGAACAAAGGTTGATTTGTTTTTCAGCTGCACTGTGGCTACACTGTCAGGTCATATTTGACACAATGGAGAACTACTCTGTTCTTTACTGTATCAAACTAGCAGGTAGTCTGTAAAGCCGTTGAAGCTTTTTCAACGTGCTCGCCGTTGTGTCAAACAAGTCCTGACAGAACATCCAAAATGAACATTTCAGTTTCCTAATTACACTCATTCACATTACAAAGTTGGATTATTGCATGCAATACAAATCATTCATTATTCTGCTAAGACATGCATATTTTTCAAACCCATATATTAATGTTGCTAGATGTCTACTTGCTTATAAATTTTTGATTACAAATTCCAAGAAAGAGCATTACAGGGTTGTTAGAACAAAGTATCCAAGACAGGGTGGAGATGATGACGGTGCAAGTCAGTACATAGAGAGAGAAAGTGCTTTTCAAACAAGTGTCAAGTTCGCTCAGTGAGGCCTTTACAGTTACAGAATTACTTCAATATTTATTTCTAAATAAGAAGTGGGCTTTGAATGGATGTAAAAATGCTACGATTGAAGTTTAAAGCATCTCTCGTGTACTGATGTAATAACATGACGCTACAGCTGTTCTAGAATACACTTTGTTCTGCAGAAAATATCCTAAGCTTTCAGTGATAAATCCATAACTCCCCAATGAAAGAAGTGTAATTGACTGCATGAGCAAAAAATAAATAAAATAAAAACGGGTGGATATAACCCTTTCCATGTGATGCTACAGAAACCTTTAAAACACTTTCACCCGGGCACTAAACTCATGCATTATTGTAGGTTATTGCTTCTAAAACTCTAATCAAATACAATTTTATGGATTAAAATATAACGCTCTGAATCCCAAAACTATGAGGTAATATGTACAATGTGATGTCATTGAGAGATCATTATTCTAGGACTAAAAGTCAATTTCAGATCCTTACCAATCAGATCCAAATCTAGGATTAAATTTAATCTCATTCCCAATAGAACATTTCTTCGTCACCATCACACGTGAGACTTGAGAGATTTTTGGCTTTTGCATATTAACTAATTCTTTTAATGCTTTATAGTGCATAAATAAAAGAAGTTACTTATTTTAAGCATATATGCTATAGTAAATGACTTGTTTAAATACTTAACTTACCCTGATTGTGCCTTACATTAGTTGTATTTCGATTGCACAAACTAGCCATGTGATGAAAATGAGATTTTGCAGTAGAGTTTAGAGTAAAGCTGTGTCTCTATGCAGTGTATTTAAATGTACCTAAGTCTACCACCCTTTAACTTCGCTGAAATAGTTTCCAAAGTTTGGCGCTCCAGCTTAGCCTAGAAATCGATTTCACTATTCCTCATGAAGCAAGCATCACTACTGGTCATGCACGGCTACTATAATGTTGGCACCACAGTCCCGCTAAATAAGCTAATGCACATGAGTCTATACATATCTTAATGGAAGACATTGGTGATTTTGTTGCTTTCAAACAACTTGTCACTTGTTTATACAATATACAGTTTGGTCAACAACATGACAGTTAGGATCAAATATTGCACAAATCCCGGTAAAATGTGATTTTTTTTCCTTTGAAAAATCACAAACGTGAACAAAAGAAAGAAAATGCACAGAAGCAGCATGCATTCACTTGAGGAACAATTATGCATTTCATTAGATTACGTTACCATTATCACGAGAAGCTCTGACCAGCCTACTCTTTGCCACTTGTTTATGCTTTCAAATACATACCTGAATGCAGTTTAGATGCATGAACATCAACTGAGCTGCGAAGAATTTTTTTGTTCGGCTGATCCTAAAGAAACACCATAATGTCCGACAGACCAAGATGAGCTATCTACCTAAAGAAAAAGCTACACTAGATTAAAATAAACAAGCAGGACTTTGTTTGATTCCATTGGGTGGATCTCTAAAATGTAAAGCTTCTTCTAGGAGTAATTTCACTAATCCTAAAAAAACAGCATTTTGTTTTTATATGAAATGGGTTTCTCTGAAATCTGAGATAATTACCTGGGTAATTCAGTGGGAAACTGTCATTTTCTTCCTCAAGTGACTGCATTTTACTTCTGGTAAAATAAAAAAATAAAGAAAAAGAAAATTGAGACCAGGTTTCTTTTGGGTGAGATAAAGCATGTTTGATAAAGCAAATCTGATTGCATCTTCTCACAATTCCTTAAAAGAAATCAAAACTGAAAATCTATCTCAACCTGAATGTCCCATTATACACGCCCTACATGCCCGAGGGGGGGGGGAAAAAAACCTCCCAGCAATTTACATGGGAAAAAACTAAATAAAAACATGTTAAATTGAAAATTTAAATTGAAAGAGACCAGATGAAGGAAAACTGAATCAGAATGCTTCAGGAGACAAATCTGAAATAATAGAAGTTGCCAGATTTCTACGTAAAGGACTCAACATTAAAAGGAAAACTTCCCAATTTTATCTCTATGTGCTATTTGTAAAGAAACACCTGCCGACCTGACAAAGGAGAGCACAATACAATGCAAAACAGATGCATAGGAGACCACAGTTTGAGTGGTTCAGTGGTTTTTTGTTTTTGTTTTACCCAAAATGAGTGAAAGTGTGCATCGTGTGCTTGTGTGCTGCTCAGTCTTCTCCCATTTACAACCTCACTTTTTGACCCCCAGAAACAAAACTAATCATCCAACATTATACAACTTTCTGTGGCACTTGACAGCCTTTTAGCTAATTCACCACTCTCCTCGTCCATGCTGTTGGACTTCCCATGGCAATGAGGTAGAGCAAAAAACAAAACATTAACACACCCAATGAGTCTAATGAAAATCACAGGCCTTGATCTTTGCTACAGTATCTTGTGTCTTTTGCTATGTTTCCCAGAAAATTGGGAGCAGGTACTTTGTTCTTTATCAAACTGTTTTTTGTAACTGTGGTGAAGTAATTTTTTCCTTTCTTACTATTTGGGAAGTAGAGACTATGTTTACATGCAGCCTGACGAGAATGTCACTCGTATTTCTAAAGGACTTTCAGGCAGACAAAATAATACTAGGCTACATGTAGACATAAGCAGTGTGCATCATGCAAGTCCGACCGCCCAAAATTTCAACAGATGGTGTTCACTGATGATCCGTGGGATGCTGTGGAGGAGAAGTGGTTAATGTCCCAGCAGGAAGGAGAGCACCAGTGTCCCAGAAGCCCAAATGAGGTCATCTTGATAGTGTCCGTTTACCTCCAAATGTCTTGGTGGTGGCGGATGTTACATGTTGGTGTTGCTGGGGTTAATTTGCAAAGCAATATCACTTGCAGAGGATTCATGACTCCATTAAATGACGGTTTATTCCTAAAATAACAATTCACATGTTACCTTCATAGAAGAAATATGACCATTATTCATAATTATACTCAGCACATTCTCTCATTGCATTTGGAACAATTAGATATGCAGTGATGTACAAAAATCTTAAGCCATTCTTGATTTCTTTATATTTTATCTCAGCAAATGGTAAATAAGTGCCTTTTTTGTGCTGCAATGACGAGGTGATTATTAAGTGGCTTAACAAATAAATAAAATATCATGACTGGATTGAAAATGAGTGAAAAAGCAGCCAATGTCAACCCCCCCCCCCCAAAGAGAAACATCAAACAAGGGAAACAGGGGGGGGGGAGAAAGCCTGAAGCCACTTTGAAAAATAATAATAATTTAGGTTGACTCCGTGGAAAAGAATTCATAGAAATGAAGGGTGGCTCAAGAGTTTTACACAGCACTGCGTAATGAATGCATTATATAATGCTGCAATCGATTCTGCTCCTTAAGTTAATTTGTTCGATTACGAATCATTTCAGCTTTAAACAGAGATTACAGTAGAATCTTATGGTGCTTAGTGGACACAGTGTCATTTAATGCAGACAAACATAATTTTCGATGGTGTGACTTTCGGTTAATGTACAGACGACTCCTTAAAATAACTCAACACAACGTAGAAGTCCGCTGGCATGCAATTGTCATCAGTTTTCAAAAAGTGAAGACAGAGGTTTAAGTAAAAGCTGACCGAAGCACTGACCTTGATGCGAGTTGGACCGAAAGGATGCAGAGATATTTCCTCTGTGGTCTGAGCTGCAGTTGCACACAATGGTAAACAAAAGCCGTGGGGAGGAGAGGGGGTTTCTTCCGCTACCAGGACACATTTAGGACTCCCAAACGAACGACTGTCTGATTTATCTTAGTAAGAGAAACCGCAGCGGCGAAGAAATAAAGTTCTGGACCCTCTTCTTTCCCCGGTTACCACAAACGAGGAGAGAAGAAGGTCCTGTCGTCCTGTTCTCCTGAACACCTCCGCTCTACGCCATTTTCGCTTCGCTACTACGAGCTAACGGGAAAAGGATTGCGCTGGATGGCTGTCAATCAACATTAAACCCGCCCCGGAAGTTGTTCTTCTTGTGTCCTGAACATGGAACGCTTCACTGCCGCTAACTGGGTCACCCAAAAAACTTGAAAATAATCCATACAAACAATAATAATAAAAAAAATATGTTGGTTGTGTGAATTACATTTGCCCCAAAGACAAAATACTAAAATTCAAACCTATTTAATATAACAAATAATTAACACAGAAAAAGGGATATGCGGTTAATCTTCGGAAAGTACCAAACTCACAAATTTATTTACTCTAGTTTTTCACAACGTTTAAAAAGGAAACTGCGTATTACATTAAAACCATATCTGAATTCAAAAATAATAAATCTCAGTATATTGCTTATTTATTTTATTGCTATCGCCATAGACTCCGTTAATGACTACCAGTGTTTATTGTATTTGCCAATATTTACGATTTTTTAAACTCCTTGAATGCCACATGTCAGATCTAACATCTAAAATAGTTACAAATCCACGGTTCATTTTGTTTATACATGTTTTTTGTTGTTGTTTTTTACGATTGTTAAACCACTTTTTCTAGAACAGTAATCATGCACTGCTTGTGGTGTTCCTTCTGACTAGAGTGTCACGCTAACCAATGCGACAATATTACCCATAATTCCAAAATAAGACAAGGTAAAGTTTCCTTCCTTTATTTACATAAATACACTTGTCCTTGACTCCCACAGTGCATTACACTCCACAACTTGCTTCTGTTTTTGAGAAAACACCAATATTAGCACTTATTGCAACCTTGTTACCGTGCATACTGAAATCAACTTTATAAAAACACGTTAAAAACATATAAAATACTGTTAAGTCAAATTTCTTAAAATGTAACCATGTCACCATATCATTTTCAATAAAAGTAAGCAAAAATATTTTTATTAGCTCACAAAAGGGTTTAATCTGTTGCCTTTATGATAAATGTATTCATTATATTGATAGTGTATTTAAGCATATATTTGAAAATAAATACAGAAATTACTGAGGGGAAACATGTGACTATTAAAAACTTGGGCAAGGATGTCAAAAGTTGCTTGAATGAGTGAAAATTCTCTATTAAGGTGATTTTTCAGGTTCTAGGGCATTGGTAACAGGGTTGAGTGTTGTTTAAACCATAGCCGCTTCCCACCAGCCAGACAAGAGAAATGGTGGCCTTGTGCTAAATGTAAAGGTACAGTGCTTTTACAAATTACAATTTTCAAAGACCACCATCCAGAGCTTTATTATTAGCAGAAAACAATAATAAACCGTGTTATTATGTTTTGATTGAGATGATTCAAATTTCCACATAATCACTGTCTCTCCTATTCAGGGCCTTAGTGCACTATAGCAAGTCTAAAACTCAGCAGGTGATTATTATTTATGAATATCTGCTGTGTGCCCGCATCAGTGTAACATGATGATCTGTTTCCTGTGTCAACTGTTGATTAGCTTTGTGGGGGCAGTGATCTGATAAATGTCACCTTTAACATTTCCAGAATCCTCCCATAGATTTTTATGGAAGATTTTTGATATTTCTGGGCCATCCACTTATAACTGGCTGCTTTAACTCCTCTCCCTTTGAGGTTCCACAGATAATACAATTTTCTTCTAAATGGGAGATCTGTGCCCACGGTTGCTGAGATGACCGTATTAAGAATACCAAGCGTAAGCAGTCCAAAGTCTAAGAGTTTCTTAACATGGGATCACTTTGTACACACTGACCTCATCATGTGGAAATCTGGATATGGTTAGTATCCACAGTTCTAACAGTATGTCACACAGAAAAAGAAGGAAAACCATGATAGGTCCACTTTATATCCCTATAAATATAGTAAGTATATCTACAGTATATTATTTGTCACTGTTGTCATTGTTATCAGCCAAATATTTAATCCAAGAAATCAACATTAACATATGAAGTTGTAGTCTGTTATACTCTAATTTTATCACACTCTACAATTTTTTAATTCCTAAAGAATAAATAAATAAAATTGCCAAGCTGGATGTAAACTGTGAGTAGCACAAAAAAGTGTCATAAGAACATCCCAATAAATGAGACAAAGAAGCATGGCACTTATTTTTATTCAAATCAAATTCCTGAATCACTTTGATAATACCTCGACCAACATCACATAACGTGATTCACATCTGACTGATGATCACAGAATGATTGATAAAATGGTTGAGCTGTGTTTCCTGCACTGGAGGGTGCTCTAGTAATGACTTTACAGACTCACATTAAAGATTTAAAAGGGGTCATGCACAGTGACATGTCCCAAAAAAAATAATATGCCCAATGCATCAGGCGCTGGTCAGTGAGGAAAGACATTCTAAGAAATACAGAGCAGAGGAGAAATCAGCATTTTTCCTTAGCTGCAGGGAAACTGATCAAATGAGTAAAAGCACAGTATGTTATCTTTGCCTGCTCTAAGTCTACAGACCAGCTGATCCCACAGCCCAATTTCCAAAACAGTACTTATAGCAAGGCCTTCTTTAAGTCTTAAAGCCTTTGAGGGCTGGTCCAGGTGGCAGATACTTTTTGAGGATATCAAAAAACCTGCTGTGAACGTCTCACATACTGATGAGACACCAGCATTTTTGAAATCTCCATGCCACCGTTCTCACCTCTAATTGAGTGAGGCACTCCAGTGGCTCCAACAGGCCCATAATTTGAGTCTACAGGTAGCAGTTGATCCACGGTGTAGTGGTTTACACATTCATCTAACAAATGAGATTCCAGGGTTTGATCCCAGTCGTGAAGGGCATCCGGCTTAAAAACTGCCAACATCAAACATGTGGTCCTACCCACTGTAAATACGGGAGCAGCTAAAAGTAGCTTTAGATTCTACTGGCAGCAGCTCTGTTAATTATATGAAACCGTACACAAACATGGCCATGGGTTACTGTTTAGCTAATAACTTACAAAGGGGAACCAGACACTTCAGTGAATTACACAAGAACCTGAGGAACAGGTCAGTCCGATTTTGCTTCAAGAGACAAACTCGGATTGGCTGGTCTGGCTCGCTCAAAGGAAACAATTCATAACAGATGGCATTAAAACACTGACATTTTGAAGTGGAATCACACAATTTTGAATCTTTGCATATTTATATGGACAAAGATGCAGCATGGGCTAAATATCAGTATCAATAATGTATCATTACTGGGGAAAAAAATACATAGTGACATTGCATAAAACAACCCAAGGCACGCAACGTTTCCCTTTGTTTACAGAGCAGTGCAAAGGCCGAAACTCAAGATTTATTATGGTATCTACCCAATGCTTGGCCTGAAGGACTGAACCCATAGTGTGGGCCACAGCAGCTCGTTGAGCAGCCGGATGAGATTGTGTCTTGAAATCAACGGACATGTTCAAGTGCTACTCTAAATAGAATTACACAAAAAAAAAAATGATAACAATAATGAAACTTTAGTGCAGGAACCGGATGCTCATCTTCTGTTCCACATCCACCTTTTCCAAGACCTGCGAATAAACAAACAAAAACAAGAAAAGTTTATACTACAGAAAAATGTGCTGCTCTAAAGTTTACATTTGCGGCTGGGCCTTAAAAGAACATCTGTTTTAAATCAATCCCAAAAACAAGTCAAAGCTCTCCTGCCATTTCAGTTAACCATCACCCCTGTCCTGGGTGCTGGTTCACCCATTATACCACTACGACTTCAGTCCCACACAAACTATTTAAATCTCAATGTTACACAGTGTGACATTTTTGTCCAGCTACCCCATAAAACACCTTTAACTGTCACTATAAGCTGAAAATAGCACATTATATATTAACTAAAACAAGTCTTTAGAAGAGTTAGAGGTTGAGACAGTTTAACTTGCTTGTAAATGTCCACACAAATCAAACTGTGAAAACCAAGGCCTGAATTAACTGGGATTATTTCATCCTCATCCTCTCTTAATAACTAACATAGATACACAATCAAATTTTTGTCCTCTGGAAAACCATGCTCTGCTATGCAAAATGCATGCTTGATAGATATATATATATATATATATTTCCTTCTTTTCTGTGGTTAGTCTTGGGTTCTAGTTTGTGTACCACTGAGGCCTCAGATGCTAAAAATATACCTGCACATGGTAGTGGTCAGTTTTTAATTAAAAAGAATCCTTCAAACAGCATCTGTTATGTCATTTTAAGTTTAGCAGCAATGCTTCAGTGGTTAACTTAAAAAGGAAACCACATAACAGTACAAATATGTATGTTGACCACAAAGCTTGCCTTGATAAACTCATTGAAGGAAATGCAGCTATCTCCGTTTGTGTCAGCCTCCTGGATGGTCCTATCAGCAATGCTGCCGAGTTGTTCATCTGAAATGTTAACTCCAACCATCATCCGCAAGACCTGGAACAAACCAGCAAAATCTATTTTTAAGAGTCACCAAATAACAAGGTGACGTATATTTTTGCAAGATCACACAAGATCATTTGTAGCTATTTTGGTTCATTGGCAAAGCCACACTTGACTAGGAAATACATGATAATAACTGATGGTGCACGCATAATGAGTGAAAAACGAGTGCACAAATAGTACATTTAGCCCTACAGGTTCATGCATTACACAAAGCAGGTGACACAGTGAAATGTTTTGCGCAAAACAAGAGGTGTGGCTGAGTCATTAACCCTGAGCTTATAGCAATTACAGGTCAGAGAATGTCACTGAGCTTGACCCGCTTTAAAGCGGGACGACAAATAACACAGAGGGAGTGCAAAGGAAGCCAAAATACAGGATATTAGACTGTCTGGGAAGGATCAGCCTGTAGTTAAGGTGAGATATCACATCATTATCAGCACAAGGGCAAAGTCTTCTTTGATGGTGAAATCCTCCTCTCTGTAAAACACTTTAAAACAAATGTGGTGCAATAGCACTTGTTCATTTGTCAAACATACAGTCTGTAGAGATAAATTTACAGAAATAATAACTGATATTCACCGAAAGGAAAAGTAGCATCTGAAAATGTCTTACATTCTGTAATGTACAAGCAAGAAGGTAGGTATGATGAAATCATATCCAGACTTTATGAGGGCTTCCAAGAGGCCTCGGATGCAAACAGCCACCATATTAAAGACATATGAGAATTTGAAGTCAAAATAGTTCTATCTACAGGGGACTGGGATAAAAATGACACAAATCTCAACCCAAATACTGTTTCACGTACTTGGAGTGGATCCGATTAGAAAAATGTTGACTTTTATTTTATTACTCCTACCATAAAAGACACCAAAGAGTAGGAACAAAGTGCTGGAGGTTATACGGACTAACAGTAGCTAATCATTACCATTAATTGCGTTCTGAGTATCTATCTGGGAACATTTGAGCACAGAACATTCAAGCTAAAGAAGACAAATACAAATAAAAATACATGGAAAGCAAAAGCGAAATAAAGATGTGGTTACACTCTGAAGGCTGGCTCAAAATCATTTATGAAATCTACGTAAAGGAAGGAGTCATTTGCTCACATTTACAGCAGGGTGAATCTATGGAATTGTGGTTAAAATTGATTGCATTCATCACCTCATTTAGATCAGATTTAGCCTAAGTGGAAGTCACAAATTATCTTTCACCGAGAGAAAAACAAAAAAAATCAACTTAAAACTTGTGTGTGAACTGCAACAAGAATAGAGAAGAGAGGGAAGTTTGACATCCTTCTGTTCTGATGTATTCTAGTGAAATTATACAGAAAAAAGTTAATATGACATAGAGGTTTCTTATAAATGTTACAGTTTTTGCTATATTAACAGACGACAATCCCATGCATGTAAAATTTAACCTGTATGCTGATGTTTTTATTTGGGAAATTACAATTTGACCTCGGAAAAATGATACATGACGTCTCAACTAAAGAATGACAACACAGGGCTGACTGAACTTCTGATAAAAGGGTGTAGAATTAGAGATATTAATTTTTCTTGTAAGCCCCACAGTTGCCAAAAGATTCTGTAATGTTTAAACACACTAATTATTCACTGTGTGAACCACAAACTACATGATGACTCCAAGTCAATCCACTCACCTGCAGGAGCTCGTCTCGGGAGATCTTGTCATCTCTGTCCAGGTCATACAGACGGAAAGCAACTGAATAGAAAGAAACAGGTAAGTCACATACTCTTAAACCGATGCTAAGATGATACCAGTTACACCCCAACACTCACAAAGCAGCTTGTTTGTCCTGCTGTTCAGGGGCTCTGTAGCTGAGGGGTTCTTGTTCTTCTCGTTGTCTTCGATTGGTCTGAAGTGAGCCAGGGTCCGCATGAAGCCCCGGAAATTTACCTGGTCCTCTCTAAAAATCACAAGCATGAAATATCTACTATAACTCTCTGGAAAGTTCAGTCAGATTACCTTTGTGCTCAAATGCGTATTGTGGACACCACAATGAGCTAGTAACCTAACACCAAGGTGCAGATTGGAATGGTTTCTACATCAAGTTGTTTAAAACAAACAGGCCAAAACCAGAGAAGCCAGAATCCGTCTGAAACCATTAAAAGACAGAGCTGCAATTACAACGCCTACACATGTGACCTTTTAGAATTTTAATGATATATCTAAAGACATCTGTTTGGGGTTTTTTCCCTCCAGCAGTGATGAAAACATCCAAATAACTGTCAAGTATACAACTCAAAACCCCATTTGATTTACTTCCACGCAGACTTGGCAGTAAGGACTGAGCTTCTCCAGCCTGCAGTCAGGAAACCACAACTGAAAGGCATTACAGCCTGGTCCAGTTTTGTGGCGATGGTGCTGGTGACTCAATTTTATAGTAGTGCAAAAACAAGCTATCCAAACTACTGCAGAGCAATAACACAGACTACTCACCCCTCAGGAAAGAATGCGTTGATGATTCTATCTCCCAGAGGGTTGATGGCCAACTCGGGGATTCTCTGGAAATCTTCTCGACTGTAAAAATAAGGAGACGTGATCAAAGTTAAATTCTAAACTCAGTATGTTTTAACTGTTCATTTTTACCTAACAATTCACCAGTCTTATACTGAGAGTTGATGAGCTTTACTAAGACATAGCAAAACTCATGAGGTCATGTGATGAGTGATATATGACATAAATCATCATTTGTGTATTAGAACAAAAAAAATAAATAATTGTTAAAAACATTGTTCAGATTTGTTACACACTGAAAATTTCTCTTACTCCAGTTGGTTGGACTAGAAACAAATCTGTGAAATCTCACTGTTGTGAAAACTAATGAAACGATAAGGAAGTCACACTGAACAAACGTGACTTCTACTGTGACTGGAAGCACTTGAGCAAGAAAAAAAAAGTATAGCCAGGAACTTATTATGTGTAAACACAACATCTTTCATATATCCAAGTTGAATGAAACCAAACAGAGTTTGTGTGTGTGTGGGGTGGGGGGTTCGTCTGCCCTTGAGAAACTGACTGTCCTTTCCCCTTCAAGGAATCATTTTCAAATAACCAAAGGGCCATCAAATTAAAATTTTAGCTGCTTAATGATTACCAGTCTCTTCACCTATCAGTTAAGACAGAATCTGAACCAGATGAATGGTCAGTGACAGGAGAAAGATTCATTACATGATTTCATCACTGAAATGAGAGACAGATCTCACATTGCCCACCTTTATCTCAGCACAACACTTTGTCTTAGACCTAATTTATTAAAATAAATACCACATTCAGAGAGGCAAATTTGGTAAAACAAAAAAAACAAAAAATATACACACTGTAAGATTTTCTCAATTTAAATACCCTTGGAGGTGTGGTTTTTTTTATGACTCATTCTCAAGTCATCCAGAAAACTTAACTGCTTAGGTGACCTCTATAACGGTGTCCTTGTAGTATGGGCTGGTAAAGGAACAAAACAAATGAGGTGCAGCTTGTGGCTCCTGTTTATGTTTTTGCTCACCTGAGGGTGCCGTTTTCCCCTTTATCCAGGCTGGTGAAACGGCTGTACAGGCGAGTGATCTGACTGTGGGAAACTGCGGCGACAAAGATTTTGACTATCAGATGAGCCAAAGAGCTGATACACAACTGAATCCACAATAACCCCTCACAGATATAATGCAACCGATTAAACTAGCAAAATATAGAGAGTTAATGAGTACAGCCTCAATCAGAAAAAGCATTCAGCCAAAGGCATCTAAATATGAGAGTACAGCAATCAACTAGCTTATGTCCAAGAGGTTTTGTCTTCACACAAGGACTCTGAGCTCAACTTACAGCCAGTTTCCTTCTTAATTTCTTCAATTTCCTCTTCTCTGAGTAATCTGGACGCTCTGGATCCCATGGTGAGATGTTAACGGAGGTTTAAAATCTAGATGATTCGCTAAAGCGTCTTGCGCAAGCTCTCCAAGAGTCTCTATTAAAGTTAGCAAACAAGCTAACTAACCGAGCTAAAAAGGCTGCTATGTTCGGTTAAAAGGAACGCAGCTGGTGTTAAATCTAGAAATTTGTTGTTTATCTTCCTGCCGATGTAACGCAGCTGTAAGTCTGTCTGCTGCTACTGCTTTTCTCCGGCACACAGCGACGTTTTGACGTTACCAAGACGGGTTTCGGTGAGGTTATCTTCCTGGTTTATGGAGGAGGCGGGGTTAAGGAGCCACCTCCCCGTTGGGCCGTTCTCACCGGGGTTAGGTGGCAGACTTGATGCCTGCCTAAAAATGTCAAAAACGGCGATGTGTTTATACACAGCGTTGTATAAACAATAATTACAGTTTTAAAGCTTAACAATTATAATAAAAACTAATAATGGACAGGACAGAGCTGGATATATAAATGCTTTTAAAAATTGTATAATTTGTGGAAAATGTCGACAGGTTTATTTTCTGGCTGAAGTAAGAACTAGTAAATAAATAGATAAAAAATAAAAATAGTTTCAACTTTTAACAGTTCCAGATAAACACACACAAAGTGGATTTCACTTCCATTATACATTATACTATACCATTTTTAAACAAAGTTCAATATGGCTCATAAAATTAAAACAAACAAATAATAATGATACTACTACTACTACTACTACTACTACTACTACTACTACTACTACTACTAATAATAATAATAATAATAATAATAATAATAATAATAAGAAGAAGAAGAAGAAGAAGAAGAAGAAGAAGAAGAAGAAGAAGAAGAAGAAAATAATTTCAAGTTACGTTTATCAAAATTTGAACTTTTCAACATTTCCACATACTTTTTTGTAAGATGAAATTTTGAATAGCTTACTTTAAATTTAAAGCTATCAAATCAAAAATTTAAGAGGCCTGAAAAGAAGAAGTCCGATTTTTCAGATCAGTACCCACAAACCTGGGTATTCTTCATAAATCAAATTGGTTTTTTTTTTATATCTCCCACAAATAACAAATAAATAAATAAATATACATGTACATACATACTGATGGTAATTCCAATGCAGAGCTTATACAGAGACATACACTGCTGTTCAAAATGAAGGACTCAACCACCATTTCTTTCAGTTTTGCTACCAAGGATCCAATGTTCTTCTAAGTTTTGTGTTACGCACATAACATTGACCTGGGAATCATTCAAGCATAAAAAGAAGAAATGAACCAGTGTTATGTCTACACATAACAGACAACAGAAACTGTTTTAATTTTATCTTTTGCCACTTTGTAATCATCAGCCTGTCACAAAAACACATAATTTGTTCCTGCTCCTTAGCTGAATGAAAAATCCTGAATTAACCAACTGTAAGGGGGAGGGGGGAGAGAGAAAAAAAGGTTTGCACCAACAAGGCGATTCTAAAAGCTTAGCAAATCTCAAGAAATTGGACAACTGGAGGATAAATAAAGAGTGATTGTGTGTGTGTGTGTGTATTATGTGCAAGTGTTGTCTGTTATGGTTGTATTGAGAGTGTGCATATGAGAAAGGATGACTCACGACTACAGATCTACCTTTGAGTAAGTAAGGTGAACCTGAAGATTTGTCTGCCCTAAAAAAAAACTATCTCCAGCACATGTCTGGAATGCATTTCATCCAGCGGTCATGAAGATCTTATCAAAATGGGTGGAATCATCATCTTGACGCAGAATAGAGAACAAAAGCAGAGGTTTGGGTGTCCTTCAAGAGGCCTGGAGAACTATTCATCCTGAAGACTACTTAAAGAAATTACAAAAAGCTTGCCTAAGATGGTTCAGGCTGTTATGAAGAATAAAGGTGGTCATACCAAATATTGAATTTTAATCTCGTTAAAACTCTGCCTAATTTACTGTATTTCCACGAATGTTTGCACATCTTTAAATAAACTGCTGCCCCTTATTTTCACATTTCCACGCAAAATATAAAGAAAGCCGTAAGCGACACAAGGGTTTCACACAAGCGTGTCAATAACAACAAATACGGGGGCTGTGAAATATAGTCAGTCAAAAATTAAAGAACCCAAACAGAGTATAATTTTAATTTTAACATGTAAGTAAAGATTTCACCACTAGATGGAGCAATTTTATAGTTTTTCGTCACACTAGTTCATGCAGAGTTTTAAGGGTTTCGTGTTATGTTCAAAACTCAAAGTATACTTAGAATGACACTATCTTTGATGTGTTATAAATAATATCAATAAATAACAATAAACAGCACTTCCGGAGGAGCTAACTGGAAGGTAATTAGCTCTTCCTAATTTGAGGTAAGAAGCTCCCTTCTTCCTGGAATCCATCTCTTTCGTTTTCTAAATTATAATTTTTAAGTTACCGCAGTTTAAACATATGTTTAAATATATATACATAGGTTCAAAAATTCTTCTCAAAATGAGAACTTGTCAACTAGACTTAAAAAGCACTGATATTTATAACAACAGTCTCCACTGAACTCTGGAGAGACAAAAAATAGTAAAGGAAATGTGACTTCATTAGGTTCAAGTGTTCGACTGTTTGTTTTTTAGGCAAAATCACTAATCAGCCAATCTCATGGCCTCAACTCAGTGCTTGTAGGCATATATGGTCAAGATGACCTGCTCAAACTGTTCAAACTGAGCTTCAAAATGGGAAAGAAGGTAAATTAGGTGAATTTGAAAGTGGTATGGTTGGTACCAGATGGGCTGGTTTGAGTATTTCAGAAACTGCTGATCTGCTGGGATTTTCTCACACAACCATGTCTGAAGTTTATAGAGAAAAGTCCAAATAACAGAAAATATCCATTGACTGTCAGCTGTGCATGTGAAAACTCCTTGTTGATGTCAGAAGTTAAAGGAGAACGGCCAAAAGTCTACTACTAGAATGGAAAACTTAGACTGAAAGTCCCACAGGCTCACCAAAACTGGACAGCAAAAGATTGGAGAAACATTGTCTTGTCTAATGAGAGTGACATTCAGATGGCAAGGTCAGAATTTGGCGTGAACATGAAAGCTGATCCATTCTGCCTTGAACTGACAGTTTAGCCTTCTGGTCGTGGTGTGAGGGAGTTTTTCTCAGTAATCTTTGGCCCTCTTAGTACCAGTTCAGCACAGTGTTTACCCATCTTGTGATAGCTGCTTCCAGCAGGGTAACATGTCATGAAGCTCAAATCATCTGAAACTGGTTCCTTGAAAACAGTTAACTCAAATGGCGTCCAGTCACCATATCTCAATCCAACAGAGAATCTTTGGGACATTTTAGAACAACAGATTTGCATTACAGGTGTGCAGCTGACATCTGCAGCAACTATGTGATTTTATCATGACAATATGGACCAAAGTCTCTGAAGTTTGCTTCCACTACCTTAATAAATCTGTGCCATGAAGAATTAAAACAGCTCTGAAGGCCAAAAAAAAAAAAAAAAAAAAAAAAAAAAAAGTCAAAGCCAGTATTAGCAATGCTTAGTGAGTGCATTTTTACTTTATTTAGATTTTTTTCTGCAGTGGAAAATGAGGAAATTCCTTTAAAATGTTTTTAAAGGAATTTACATAAATCAATGACACTAATAGCCCCAATGCTGTAGTATAACCAAGTTTGTTTTTAATTGATCAATCTCAAGCCCTTCACCTGATCTCTGATGACCCCACAGTCTCTGTTCTGTTTCTGTAAATATAGACCTGCTCTCGGGCTCATTGGTATCCTGTAATAAACTATCAGCTTTTAAAAATCAAGATCACAGGGAGTCCAAAATCCTGTTAAAGCTCACAGCAGTTCACAGCCAGAGGATATGGGTGTATTTACGTATCTATCACACAGTGATGTGCAAACTTAAAGGTTTCTGATCATAGGAAATGCAGAATTATCTGGAAAAGAAATCCTTCTGAGGTTAGCTGCTGAAACAGTAAACAGCAGCTATTAGAAATATCATCCAGAAAGCATGTCACCTTGGCTCCATCGGATTTTATTCCCAGCAGTGTCACAAAAAAAGTCTCTTGAGGCTTAACATTCATTGTTTAGTGGTCTGCCCTTGGTAATACCACAAATAAAGCTTAGCAAACAATTTTATTTGCAGTTCATATTATAATTGTGTATTTTGTTCTAAAAACAAAATGGGTAGCAATAAAAAGTCTCAAACGCTCTTCACTGTGAAGTCATCATAAAAGAAAAATCAGTAAAATCAAAAACGACTTTAAAATTTATAGTGTGCTCATAAGACAGTAAGGTCAGCTCCACATCCGACTGATTCCCAAGTGGTGCAAAGAGAAGCTCAGTTTTCTCAGCTTCTCAAGCGGAAGAACCAGAGGCTTTGATGGTTTCACAGAAATCCTTTTAGTGGCCACACACGGTGTCCAT